GGAAAAAAAGAATGCGTTAATCAGGATGCCCAGTATTGATTTGGTTCGTGTCAGCGTCCACGATATGTACGCTGGATCGGTTTCTTTTTCGTTTTAGTATGGTTTCGTATGCTTTGAAAGAATGTTATATATATAACATTCTTTCTTTTTCGCTCTTGCTTTTATATATGTGTTCGTTTTTGAAGGGGGGATTATTTATTCATTCGTTTTTATCTAGTGGTACATGCCTTCCTTTTCTCCATTATATGCTGATTTTTTTTCATCACTTTACAAATAAAGGGAAGTAGAGCTTTTTTCTTTAGCACACGAAGCTAGGGAGCGCACAGTTCGTATCGCTACTAGCCTGTATATATCGTCATCACAGATGTTTCTTTTCTTTCCTCTCTACGCACTTCACATCTCTGTTTAGTCTTATTCCGAATCATTATTTAGTAGTTAAAGTTATAGATACACGTGCTGTTTCGTTTTGAAAGAAAATAAATTCAGATGACTGGCAAAGAATATTCTGTAGAAATCAAACGAATTCTTTTTCGGGTGATATCATTCATTGAATCAGAGAAAAAGGGTCCTAAAATACCTCTCAACAACACATTGGAACGGACTCAAGCTTGTCTCGCAATATCAACAACATCAATCAACAATCTGAAGAGAGAAATGCGTGAAATTATTGAAGAAGAGCAACAACAGTTGGATGCACAGAAACAGAACGAAGATCATAAAGTTCATTTCTTGGGTGGTCGAACTCCCGACACAACGTCATCATTTTCAGATTATACTTCCACCGTTTGTACAACAAGGTCGGGTATCGTACAGTCAAAAACAAACACTTCAAGCCATCGTAAACAGCATCGACTAGGCACAACTGCCAAAGCATTTATCTCTGTTCCTGAACCGAGACCACCAAAGAAAATAGGTAATGTCGGACGGAAGTCGATCATATTGAGTGAATTTGCAGAGGATACCATTCGATATACGTTTCATCAAATGCTCGCTGAGAAAACATATCCAACAATAGTCACTCTTCTAGCAAGGTTACAAGCAGAATATCCAGATTTTCCTGCCCAGACGAAATCAACTCTTCTCAAAAAGATGAAACAGCTTGGGTTCAAATATCGAAAAACGTCAAAATTGACGATAGCTCTTGAGTAAGTTGCTCATAACCACATTTAAGATATTTGATATACTTCATCACATATTTCTTTATAACTTCAGCTCTGTCTCGTTCATGTCTCAAAGAGCCACCTATTTTCAAAATCTAGACAATCTTCGTGATGATGGCGCTCGGATTTATTACCATGATGAAACATGGTGTAACGTTGGTGAAGAGAAACGGTCAATATGGTTGAGCGATCGTGGTGAGGGTCGTTTAAGGAAGGGTGATGGGAAAGGAAAAAGAATCGCTATCTCAGCCATAGTTAGTGAACAAGGATTGGATAAACACACAGTCGATATTTTCCGCTGTGATGAAGAACATGCAATGAATAGTAATCATTTTATCGAATGGCTTCACAAAACAGCTGCTCACTTACGTATCTGTCACCCTGAACCAACTCGAATATGCATTATCATCGATAATGCAACTTGGCATTGTGAACTATGTGACGATGTTAAACCACCTAATCGATCTTGGCGAAAGGATAGCGTCAAGCAATGGCTCCAACAACGTAAAATCAAATTCGATCGATTGATGACAAAAGCACAGTTGCTGGAGTTGGCTTTTGCCAATGTTCCCCCTAAGAAGTTCAAGTCTAATACGGTAGCATCTCAGTTTAATGTGGAAATACTTCGCCTACCCATCAAGCATTGTATGTTGAACCCAATTGAGCTTGTTTGGGCAAGTCTCAAGGAATACGTTCGAAAGTATAATACATCTTTTGTAAGTATGAAATATCCTATCAACTTTTGCGATAGTCATTTCAACTAAAAGCTGTGTTGTGCAATATATTCTATTGTTTTTTTTATAGCGTCTGTCGGATGTAGAAGTATTGTCGCGTGAATTCATTGATACTGTTGATGCCAATTCCTGTCGGAAATATATCGAACATGCGCGCAAAGTCGAACAGGATTTTCGCACAGCCGACGCTCTTGTAGAAGAAGTCATCGAACCAGACCTTGTTAGTTCCGATTCGGAAGGCAATGAAGATCAAGATGAAGATCAAGATCAAGAAGAGGATCAAGATGAAGATGAAGACCAAGATGAAGATGAAGACCAAGATCAAGAAGAAGATCAAGATTTCGAAAACATGGACGATGCTTGACTATACTCCTCTTTCGTTCTTTTCTATTCTTGCCTGTTTCATTGATT